GGCAAAAGAGTCAGTAAGAGGAAAAGAGGCCCAAGAGCAGGCAAAAGAGTCAGAGACACATGCATTCCCACTATTAGGAATTCCACAAAATTGGTGTAGAGAACTCCCTGTGAGGCCATATGACTTTCCCTCAGCAGGGTGCCTGGTACAGTGCCTTCCCCAGAGGATAATTGATCCACAGTAAATTTTATGGGATTATATGATTCAGGGCTGATTCAGAACCATACTCTTCTGTCCCAAGGAAGAGAATCCTAAGAGCCAGTCCCTGGAAAGAATGATAAAGACCTTAGGAATGAGGAAAGGTACTCACTGTGGGCTTCCTGCCAGAGCCCAAGTGGGAAAACAAAACAAGACAAACAAACAAACAAACACAATCTACCCGAGTTGAAGAAACCTTGAGCAAGAGACCATGCAAAACAGAGGTGGTGCTACAGAAATACAGTCAGGCAGTGCTGTAATCCTAGCACTCTCCAGGTTAAGACAAGAAGATCTTGAGTTGGAAGCCAGCCTGGAGTAGATACACAGCAATACCCTGTCTCCAAAAAAGGTCCAGGGCATGGGGAAGGGGAGTAGAATATGCCCGAGGAAATGGCTCAGATAGGTATCGTATTTGATGTACAAGCATGAGGACCTGAGTTCCATCTCTCCAGTAGTTAACATAAAACCTGGGAGCAACAGCTCACATCTGTAGCATCAGCAGTAGGGGTGGGGTGTAGGAGAGTGGAGACAGGGGCTTGCTTGCCAGCCAGTCTAGCCAAAATGATGAGCTCCAGGTTTGGTAAGATTTGTCTCAAAAAAATGAAAGTGGCCAGGCTGTGGTGGTGCACACCTTTAATCCCAGCACTCAGGAGGCAGAGGCAGGTGGACCTCTGTGAGTTCATGGTCAGCCTGGTCAACAAAGATACACAGAAAAACCCTGTCTCGAAAAACCGAAGGAAAAAAAGAAGAAAAAGAAAAAGAAAGAAAGAAAGTGGAGGACAACAAAGGAAGACACCTAACATGGATCAGTGGCCTCCACAGGCACATGATACACAAACACATTCATGTTCACTCAAGCACACATGCATGCATATGTATACAACACACACACACACACAACAACAACAACAACAACAACAACAAATAGATGAGAAAGGAAAAAAGGGAGGGACTAGTTGGTACAGCCTGTCTCCATCAGTAAATCTGGGCAGTAAGAACTCATCATTCAGACTTGGCTGCCCACCAGGAAATTCCACTAGTCCCAACATATGGCTGCTTGTTAGGGTCAGAGATAAGCATTAAACAGATACCTTCCTCATTAATTGGTGAAGCTGAATGACAGACAGGTCCATTCCACAGTAACACTTGTAATGATTTTGGCTCAGGTGGCCTTACCAGGGCCTAGGGATGTAAGTGTACCTGTCTTGCATCATTCCTAAGGCCTGAGAACCACAGCATGTGTGTGCATGAGCTCCTGCACACACATGCACACACACATACACACACACATACACACATACACACACACCCCACTGTTGTCCAGTAGCTGCAAGTGTTGCTTATGAGCAAAGACTAACAGGGAGTTTTTAACAACTGAGTAGAGAAGATCAGTGCTCACCCTACAAACATAAAGGGGACTTTCCACTCTCGGGGATGTGGCAACATGACTAAAATCATTCTAAATTAGGTAGAAAACATGAGTTCTAGGTTCTAACTTTGAACTAGGCTGGACTGACTACATGCCCAAATGCTTGTTGTTTTTCTCAGCTCATTTGTCCATAAATAGGTGTTCATGCAAGGAACCACACTGGAGAGAAACAGATGAGGTTCTTGTGCCCCCAAAGTAGAGGCTGCCAATCAGTCCTTCTCTAATGAACCCAGTTAGAACCAGTTAGAAAAGGCACAACATGCTTACATGGGGTTGCCATTACTCAATGCTGGATGTAAGATTATAGGCAGGGGAGCCTGAGTGTGTCCACCCTTCCAAGAGAAATCATCTGGCTTTTTAAAGTTTTCTTCTTGAGACTGGGTCTCACTATATACCCATAGCTGGCCTTGAACTCACATAGAACACCTGCCTCTACTGCCTGAGTGCTTGGAAAAGGTATGTGCCACCATACCTGTGGAGCACCATGCTTTTTGTTGTGTTTTGTTTTGAGTTTTGTTTTGTTTTTTGGTTTTTTTTGAGACAGGGTCTCTCTACATAGCTCTGGCTGTTCTATAACTCACAATGTAGACCAAACTCACAGAGATTCCCCTGCCTCTGCCTCCTGAGTTCTGGAATTAAAGGTGTGCACCACCATGTCTGGCTTGTCTAGCTGTTACATAGCCAGCTGTTACATAGCCACTAATTACATCTCTGAAAGATTTTCTTTAGGTCAAAGTAGGTAAGGAAAAGTTGTTGTGGTGTGATCTCAGTACTCATCAGTCTGACTGGGTTGCCCACTACTTCTAACCTGTGGCTGCATGTTAGGGTCAGAGGTAAACATTAAACACCTTCTCCATTACCTATCGAAGTAGAATGAATGAGGTCTATTTGACAAGGTCATCCTGATTTACATGGTGAGTTCTAGAGCCATTAAACTACATAGCAAGCTCCAACCAGCCCTGGATACCTAGGAAGACTCTGTCTCAAATATAAATAAGTAATACTAAAAAGGAAAGAAAAAAAAAATACAGATCTGTGGTAGCACTTGCCTCACTTTCAATCTCCAATTGTCGGCACAGAACTTCAGATAAAAATAAAGAAAAGAAAAGGATTAGGGATCTAGCTGAGTATTGGACCTGTTGCCTAACATGAGCAAGGCCCTAGATTCAGTTTCCCAACACCAGCCAAGAAGAAAAGAAAACATATGTGTCAATCAAAGCAAACATCTCTGCCTTGTATCAATTTATGATCTTGCCCTGAATTAAGTCCCTGTTTCACAATCCAGGAAGTAATCTCTGCTTTTTTTTTTTTCTCTTGAAATTTAAATTTAAATCCCTTCAAGTTCTTTGTGACCTGAGGGACTCGTGAATCTGCCAGACTCAGGCTCAGTCAAGTACCAGCAAAGAGAGCTTTCTTTTTGAAACTGGTTAGGACTCAACATTTGGTCCAGTTAAGTGTTTGTTTAGTTCAGTGACTGCAGTGAGACTGAAATCTGTGACATTTTTCTCAATCAACCACTAACCCAGACTTATTTATAATAAGCATCTCTTTAAGCTTTCTAGAATTCCTCAACTTGTTTAAATCCTTTTGGTAAAGGCCTTTCCTTTCCTTTCCTTTCCTTTCCTTTCCTTTCCTTTCCTTTCCTTTCCTTCCCTTCCCTTCCCTTCCCTTTCCTTTCCTTTTCTTTTCTCTTTCTCTTTGAGACAGGGTTTCTATCTGTAGTTTGACTATCCTGGAACTCACTATGTAGACCAGACTGGCCTCAAACTCACAGAGATGCTCCTGCCTCTGCCTTGTGGGTGCTGGGATTAAAGGCGTGTGTCACCATGTCCAGCAAGCTTTTTCCAGTTTTGTTCAATATCATCCTTAGTCATTAGGAAAATGCACCACACACACACACACACACACACACACACACACACACACACACACATGCATGCGCATGCGCGCACACTCATGCCTTCCTTAAGTATTTTTGAAAATTCAAGAGCTTTGCCCCCATCTTACACATATGAAGTTATCTAGTAAAACTTCTATTTTTATATTCATGCATATTTTGCCTGAATATACTTGTGTTCCACATGTGTACATAGTCCTTGAGGTCAGAAGAGGGTGCAGGATTTCCTGGAACTGGTGTTACAGATGGAAGAATGCCATGATGTGGATGCTGGGAATTGAGCATAGGTCCTCTGCAAGAGGAGCCAGTGCTCTTAATCTCTGAGCTCTTCATCTCTAGCCCCCTTCTTCTTCTTTCTTTTTTGAAGATTTATTTTATTATTTTTGTGTATATGTGTATTTGTGTATCTCTCTCCTTTTCTAAGTGAGTGCAATGCCAATAGAAGCCAAAAGAGTGTTGAATACCCTGGAACTGAAGTTGCAGGCAGTTATGAGCTGCCTGATGTGGGTGCTGGGAATTGAACTCAGGTCCTCTGGAAGAACATTATTCTCTCTTAAGAGCTGGGCCATCTCTACAGCGCTTTCTTCTTCCTCCTCCTCCTCTTCCTCTTTGTCGTGGCCTGGCTTGACTCAGTCCACAGAAGCCATGAGGTCGGCCTGAGTGGGGGAGCATGGACTTGGAAGTTCCTAGCAACCCAGCAGCCACGAAGACCAGACACAGGCATCTTATCATCTTTGGAGAGCTCTCAGTTCCACGCTGCAGACTGGAGTCTCCCATTTATTCCAGCATCTTCCTCAACTGCTTTCTAACCGTTCTTCTCTAACACCCGAGACTATTTCTCCTCATCCCCTCAGCAGATACCTCTAAACAGTCTCTCCTCACGTAGACCTAGCCCTCCACCCTGGTGCAGGCCTATTAAAATGCTTAGTTCTGTAGAGATGCAAAACTAGGGGACATTCTCCACTGAGGCTATGCCATTCAACAGCAAATCAGCTAGCATCTGCAATACAATGCAGACTAGAGCTCCCAGATACTGGAACCAGAGGTCTGGACCCCCAAGAAATTTTCTAATAGCATAATTTTCAGCTCCCAACACATCTTCATCTTTTATATTTGTTTACTTATCTGGGGTGATGGATGGCACACATATGGAGGTCAAAGAACAAAAGAACAACCTGCAATAGTTTCTCAGGCTTGGTAGAAAGTTCATTTTGCCAGTCCAGACAAGTCTTCTAAACTGGGCGTAGTGGTGCATGCCTGTAATCCCAGTTTTTGGGATGTAGAGTCAGGAATATCAGGTTCAAGGTCATCTTCCACTATAGAGAGTCTAAGGCAAACCTTGACTACTTAAAGCCCTAGTTCTAAAAACCAACATGGTTTGTGGTGGCTGCTGAGGGATTGTCTCCAGGCCAGCCTGTGCTAGGCTACAGAATAAGACTCTTATTTAAAGAAAAGGAAAGAAAGCAAGGAAGCCACATGCTTGGTAAGTGACAGAGTTACTGTCACCTTTTCATGGATTTTGCAGTTTACAAGTTCTCATCATTATGGGTAAATTTCACAAATATGTTACTGAGCAAAAGAAGCTTTGTCCTTCATGATGGTTTATACCTGTAATCTCAGCACTCAGGAGTCTGAGGAAGGAGAAAGGGTTGAGAGTTCAAGGCCAACTGAACTCCTGGGGTACATTAGGCCATTTAGCAAGAAAAAGAAAAGAAAACCACTAAAAGGGGGGGCTAGAGAGATGCATCAGGAGGTAAGAGTGATTACTTAGTAAGCATGAGTATTTGAATTCAAATCTCTATAATCCACAGGGGGCAAAAACAAACAAACAAACAAACAAACAAAAAAACAGTCATGGCTGTGTGTACTTACAACCCTGGCATTATGGGGCAGAGACAGGCAGATTCTGAGAGCTTGATGGTTAGCCAGCCAAGCCAAAAAGATGAGCTTCTGGTTTAGTGAGAGATCCTGTAGCAAGGCAACAAGGCAGAGAATAGACAAAGATGCCCTATATCCTGCTGTGGCTTCTGCATGTACTGCACACAGGCAATACCCCACACAAATAAATAAATAAACAAATAAATAAATAAATAAATACACACACACACACACATATATATACACACACTTGCCAAGATGCAAAAAAAAAAAAACCCACATATTAAGTGATTGAAAATAAAACTGATCTCTTACGTATGCAGGGAATTGAACCTGGGTCCTCTGGAAGAGCAGCCATTGCCCTTAACTTCTGAGCCATCTCTCCTGCACCCTCCACATGTATTCTTAAAGGGCTTTGTGATACCCTAAGATGTGCTCATGATTTCATTGGAATCTGCCCTGCCTTACCTCATGATAGTATTCCCTGCAGATTTTGTGGCCTCACTCGATTTCTGTCTTTACAGGAGACTCCCTTCCCACAGAGAGCAGGCTTGTGAACAGCTGTATCCAGGCTAGAAAGAAATGCCAGGCTGATCCTGCTTTCAAGGCTGCCTACCATCAGCTGGAGTCCTGCACCTCCAGCCTAAGCACCGAATCACCCCTAGAGGAGTCTTCCACGTCTGCAGACTGCCTGGAGGCAGCACAACAGCTTAGGAACAGCTCTCTGATGGGCTGCACATGCCACCGACGCATGAAGCACCAAGCTACTTGCCTGAACATTTACTGGACTGTTCACCCTGCCCGAAGTCTTGGTAAGGCCACTCTCCTAGAGTGTACTAAGCAGGGAAGGGAGATTTGGGGAAGTCGTTTCGAAATGGTATCAGACCATATAGTGGATTTTGGTGGGGATGAATGAATTCTTCATGTGGCATCAGTAAGAGATGCAGAGAAAATTCGGCATTGTTTTATTGGGTCCTCTACCTATTTCTGCCTTTCTTTTAAAAATATTTTTAGGGGCTGGAGAGATGGCTCCGTGGTTAAAATCACTGGCTATTCTTCCAGAGAACCCAGATTCAATTCCCAGCACCCACATGGCAGCTCACAACTGTCTGTAACTCCGGTTTCTTGGAATCTGGAATCTGACACCTTTACACCAACACACATAAAATAAGTTGAATAAATTATTAGAAAATATTTTTAGCCTTTTTTTGTTACCACAACATAGTTCATTAAAAAGCTGACTAATGGCCTGGGGGTAGTGGCTCACACCTTTGATCCCAATAGTTGGGAAGCCGAGGCAGGTGAGTGGGCCTCTGAATTCGAGGTCAGCCTGGTCCACAGAGTTTGTTCCAGAATAGTCAGGGCTATACAAGGAAACCCTGTCTCAAAAAACAAACAAAAATATTTATTTATTCATGTGTGTAGATATATGTGGAGGTCAGAGGACAATTTTGTGGAGTTACTTCTCTTCTTCTACCATATGGGTTCTAGGAATCAAACTCGGGCTGTCAGGCATGCTGGCAAGCACTTTTAACTGCTGAGCCATCCTGCTGGCCCCTTGCATCCACTTTCTTGCCTGTATCATCTTCTTCACAAAGCTCTTAAGCCAGGGAGATTCCCAGCCTGAGGAGTTCCTGAAATAGGATATTGAGAGAAAATGAGGAAAGTGGTCTCAGCTCATAACGGGTTGAAAACACCACGGGGCCTACTGACTCAGAGAGAGTAAGAAGTCGTACATTATTGAAGTTTGTAACAGAAAGGTTTTCATTAACCAGACAGGAGGCAGCTAGAGCGAAGGCACAGAGGAAGCCAAGCAGAAAATTCTCTACCCATCAGCCCCTGTCTCTACTCATCAGCTTTGTGTAGCCCTGGCTATCCTGGAACTCACTCTGTAGACCAGGCTTGCCTTGAACTCAGAGGTCCACCTGCCTCTGTCTCCCAAGTTCTGAGACTATGTGGTGGTGATAACAAAAAAGACTTCCATAGGTGAACATGGAGGCTTATAATCCCAGCACTGGAGGGACTGAGGTATGAGGACCCCCACAAATTTGAGGATAGCCTAGGGTAGTGAGACCCTGTCTCAAACAGCAAAACAAAACAAAAACCCAAAACAAACAACCAAAAAAAAAAAAAAAAAAGGGCTGGGGAGGTAGCACAGTCAACCTTGCAAACATAAGACCTAAGTTTGATCTCAGAATCCACATTAAAACAAAACAATGCCCATGTGACATTTGTAATTCCAGTGCTGGGGAAGCAGACAGGCAGATCCCTGGGGTTGCTGGCCGGATAGCTGAGCCTGCTTGCTGAGTCCCAGGCCAGTGAGAGGCCTTCTCTAAAAAAACAGACAAATAAGAAAACAAAACAGGGAGTGGGTTGGGGAGGGGGGCTGGAGAGTTGTTTCAGTGGTTAAGAGCACTGGCTGCTTTTCCAGAGGACGTGGGTTCAATTCCCAGCACCCAGGAGGTGACTCCCAACCATCTGTAACTTCAGGTCCAGGGGATCTGATACCCTCTTCTGGCACTGAACACTTTTATGCTTTTGCTTAAGGGTGTTAACTATGAGTCACAGAATGACCTTAGATGTGTGTCCTCCTGCCCTCAACCTTTGAGTGTAGAGACCACGGTATATGTCCTGGATCATGAAAATTTCTCTGCTGGTTCTGGATCTGGCTCCTCTTGATCTAGAAACCCATACATTGGAAAGACAAGTCATCCGCAGGACACAAATAACGCACAGAAAGGGGGCGCTGGGAGGCGTAGGACACACTGATTCACAGCTCATGTCCCTAAGAAGAGGGGTGTTCCCTTTGCTGTGGGTGTGCAGTTGCCCTGTCCATTGTTCTGTAGGACTCTTGGCCCAGCCCTCTGCCAGGTTCTTGCTTTTCAGTTACTCTCTCTGGCCATGCTTAAAATGGGCATTGGAGACTGCAGTCTCCTTGGGGACTGAGCTCTACTCTCAGCCTGCTTCCTGCCTGAAGGATGTCGGGGATTGTAAGTCTGAGTCTCTTTTAATATGGGCTGGTAGCTCTTGGCTGTACAACACATAATTGCTTTTTATATCTTTGATTTCTGTCATCTCGTGGGCCCAGTAGCCTTTCCCACAATTTAAGACATGTGCTTTCTTCTAGACCGAATTAAAAGTCCCTTGCCCTTGTTAGGCCTCCATGGGAGTCACTGCTTTAATTTTTTTTTTTTTTTCTGACTATATTTGTCCAACTGACAGGATTCACTGCTAACCCCCTTGATCAATCGAGAGATCCCAACGACCACCAGGGCACCCATGTGTTTAATTTGTCTTTCTTCCTCATTGAGTTATGACCAACTTTATAACTCAGAACCCTTTCCAGCCTTGTTTTCTGTATGAATCAGAGAGAAAATTGCATCTCTTAATCCTGAAAATCCTGAAATTCCTGATCTGTTTTTGTTTTGTTGTTGTTGTTTTTTGCAATGGTGCTTTTGAAACATGGTTTCTACCTGTATGATCAGACTTATAAACAGCAATGTGTGTTTCTGCTTCCCAGGTCTTTTTTTTTTTATTTATTTTTTACATTCCAATCCCATTCCCCCTCCTTTCCTCCCACTCCCTCCATTCCCCTCCCCCATCTGCTCCATGGAGAGGGCAAGGCCTCCCCTAGGAAGTCTACTAAGTCTGTCCCATCATCTTTTTGAGGCAGGATCAAGGCACCTCTCCCACATTGGCTGTGGGGACACACGATACAGCACAGGAATGCGAGTGAGGACAGGTACTGATCTGAACCAAAATGAGAAAACCAGAGGAAAGAAAGACTTGGTGACCGCACAACCAACACCTCTTTCCCACTCATCCTGTGGGGTTCTGGACTCCTGAAGGGCACTTACTAGGTTATAAGCATTGTGGGTCTCAATAAACCTGTGTCTAGGTTGAGCAAGGTATCTCTTGCTTTTTGCTTTTTGAGACAGGGTTTCCCTATGTAGTTTTGGCTGTCCTGAAACTTACTTTGTAGTCCAGCCTGGCTTCAAACTTAGAGATCTCCCTGACTCTCTGCTGTCTTGAAAACCAAAAAAAATAAAAAAATAAAATGCTAGATTAAACAAGGGCTTTTAGAAAGGGAAATGCATTTCTTGTTTTACATCTGCTGCCAGCTACCATCAGTTGACTTTGCTCTACCTTCCATCTTCATGGAAGGACCCAGACTTGTAGAGAGACAAGAGGAGCAGCAGAATCATGTGATGGGTCTAAAACTTCTGCTCAGATATGATTTACATCATTTTAGCCTAAACTCCATAGGCTGAAGCAAGTCACATGGCCAACCTGACACCAGTGGGCTGAGCATGCATTTTCCTCTCACTGGGGACATGGAAGTCCCATGGCAACAGTTGGGAGGTGAAACCCTCCCCCAGGATTGGGTGGTGGGGCAGTGACTGGAAGTGGGGACACCATCCACTGCATTCCTTTTTCCTGTTCCACTACTCATTCCTGTCGTTCTCTTTTTGATCTTCCCCAGAGACATCTTCTGAGGCTCTGCCACTTCCTGCTGCCAGGTCTTTCTTAAAGCCCACTCTCCTCTGTTTGACTGACATCCGTGGTCCTGCAGTCCTCAATATGCATTTACAAAGGCCTGTTGGGTGACACCAGCAAGCTCACCTCTTTCTTCCAATGTGATCAATTTAGAGACAGGGTCTCAGGTACCCAGGCCGTCTTCTGACTTTCTATGTAGCCAAAGATATCCATGAACTCTTGATCTGCCTACCTCTACTTCTTCAATGCTGGCATCACAGGCAGGAGCCACAATACCCAACTTATTGCTGGTGCTGGAGGTTGAACCCAGGGCTCTGTACATGCCAGACAAGCACTCTAATCCTGAGCTGCATCCCAGCCCTCAGCAGCATTTATTAACTAGCATTTATTGAGACCCACAATGCTTATAACCTAGCAAGTGCCCTTCAGGAGTCTAGAGGCCCACAGGATGAGTGGGAGAGAGGTGTTGGTTGTGGGGTCACCGTGTCGTTCCTTCCTCTGGTTTTCTCATTTTGGTCCAGGTCAGTACCTTTCCTCACTTCCATTACTGTGCTGTATCATGTGTCCCCACAGCCAGTGGTCAAGCCTAGAAACAGTTCATTTTTGTCCCTTCTCTAATGGCAAGAGAAAGCGAAAAAATCTCCTTGCTTGACTGTGTGCCCACAGGCAGTATCTATACTTAGGAGCAGAAATTCTGGGAATCAGTATAGATTTTATATCTCCCCCACCCCCGCCCTCCGCCCCTTTATTTGAGACAAGGTCTCACTATGTAGCTCTAGCAGTCATGAAACTCACTATACAGATCAGGCTGACCTCTAATTCATAGAGATCTGCCTACCTTGTCCCTGCCTTTCCTCACAGGGGTGAGGAAAGGTGTGCACCACCATGCCTATCTCAGTTCCCCTTTTTATTAAGCTAATGTGAATCTAAGCAACTCAGGACCTCTCGTCCTCGGTTTCCTCTTACCTCAGTGTGTGTGTGTGTGTGTGTGTGTGTGTGTGTGTGTGTGTGAACCAGTGAGTTTAACAAATGATAGCTCTTAATTATTCTCATATATTTATTCATCGGGCCTAACCTGTACCTTCATGGTTCTGAATTTTTCTGCACAGCTCATAGCTCCCTAGGTACGAGGCCTTGCAGTCTGACCCAGCAATTTCAGCCCTCCCTGCTCCCTTTCACAAGTTCTTGTCGTTGGCGTTCACATACTCCCTGTTCTCTCTAGGTGACTACGAGTTAGATGTCTCCCCCTATGAAGACACAGTGACCAGCAAACCCTGGAAAATGAATCTCAGCAAGCTGAGCATGCTCAAACCAGGTGTGGAGGGCAAGCATAGAATGGGGAAGGGGAAGCTGGGCCTGGGCTCTGAGGGGAGGGTGTCTGAAGGGAGCATAAACTGGGGGTGATTTGTGGGGAGAGTTTCTGCCTGCTGTGTCAGGATGTAAGTCTGAGCTGTGGTGCATGGTCTATGTTCACAGGAGTGATTAAAAAGTAGCAGTTACTAGGGAAACCTCCAGAGCCCATTAGGGCCATTGGTCCTCAGGAAGGGTGTGTGGGACCAGCAGCGGCAGAAAACATGCTGAAATGGAGTATTTACCCACATTGAAGGTGGCCAGGAAAGCAGTTTCTTCAGAAGTCCCTAAGGACTAGGAAATTGCTTGTTAGCTACCAACCTAATGGGGTGGGTGAGAAGTTGGGCAGAAAAAAACAGCAAGCCTCTCATTCCGCACAGGGGTCACTCAGGGTAGAAGCTCTCAGTCCAGCAAAGGCTGTGATCCACATTTTCCCCAGGAAAATGAGGCTGTGAACTAATTGCTCAAGAACTCAGAAATGCACTGTGGGGTGGGGTATGGGGGTGGTGTGTGGGGGGGGCGTAGTTCATGCCTTAATCTAAGCTCTTAAGAAGAAGAGGCAGGATGATCAGGAATTCAAGGTCATCTTCTTCTACCTTGAGTTCTGGGACAGTCTGGGCCACCTCTTTAAAAAAACAAAACAAACAAACAAACAACCCAAAGAATATGTCCAGGCACTAGTTTTTAAGATACAAGTAAGATTTATTATATAGTTGGTTCTGTCTTTTTTAAATTAGAATTTTTCTTGTTTTTGAGACAGGGTCTTGCTGTGTAGCCCAGACTGACCTTGAGGTCTAGCTCTTTATTCTTCTGCCTCCAAGTGCTAGAATTATATGAGTATGCCTGGAATAAATACTCGTGTGTGTGTGTGGGTGTGTGGGTGTGTGTGTGTGCGTGCGCGTGTGTGTGTGTGTGCTCTCGTGCGCGCACGCCCGCTTTTTGTTTGTTTTTTGTTTGTTTGTTTTTAGTCCTGGCTGGCTTAGAACTCACTATAAAACTCAGACTGGTCTCAAGCTCACAGAAAGTCACCTGCCTGTGTCTCCTTAGTGCTGGAATTATAAACCTGTCCCCTTACTTCCAACTTAAGAATTAGAATTTTTATTAAGGATTCCCCCCCCAAAAAAAACCCCAGGGTTTCATTGTGTAGCTATGGAGGCTGTCCTGGCACTCACTCTGTAGACTAGGCTGGCCTCAAACTCACAGAGATATGCCTGACTCTGCCTCCTGAGTGCTGGGATTAAAGGCATGAGCCACCAACGTCCGGCTTGAGTTTTATGTTATAGTCAGTTATGTATATTAGAATTGGATTTTAAGGAAAAACCCCACAAATTTATACCTAATAAACCCATTAAGAGAAATTAATAAATAACCTGTAAAAATCACTGACTGGCTGGGCGTGATATCTATATCTCTATATCTCTATATCTATCTATATAGATATATAGAGAGATATAGAGATATAGATATATTCATTCTACTTTTCAAAGTTTCAGAATGTGGGAGAATTTTCATATGTGAATCAGTAAATGAAAGACAGACATGGTAGCTCATA